GAAGGGGCGGGGGGGGTCGGCCAAAATTGTGTTTGCTTTGGGCGGCAAAAATCCTAGAGCCGGCCCTGCCCCTCGCAATGCAACAGTTACTCAGACACTGGCTCCCGGAGCTACGGTCAGCACAAACCAGCAGCGCAGCAGAGTCGGGACGGGGCTTGGGGGCACGGCACGGCCCGGGGCACGCTGCATTCCCCCAGCCCGCAGCCGGGTGCATCCCACCCCGCCGCCGCCGCCACCACCCCCCTCGGGACCTAACCAGGGGCCGCGGGGTAATGACGTCACAGGGAGGCGCACTGGGCAAACCCGCACCTGCCATCGCTAGGCCTAGGGCGCCTGCCGCAGCTGTGTGGGCGGGGTCAGAGCAGCTGAGACACACACCCCTCCCCCCGGCCCCCAGAGGTGACTCCCGACGGGAGCTGCTCGCCGGTAGTGCTCCGGCCCGGCCCCCACATTCCCTCATGCCTAATCCGCTACCTGCTGGGCCAGGAGCTGCCGGCGCAGTTTCTGTCGCTCCCTGATCTCCTGCAGCCGGCTGTTCATCGCCATGCAACCGAGGCGGCCTCGCCGCGGGCGCGTCTTTAAAACGTCACTTCCGCTTCCTGCCCTAACTTCTCCGGAGACTCCGCCAGGCCGAGTCCCAAGCGCGCTAACCACGTGACGCAGGCAGTTGCTCTCTGCCCCACCCCGGCGGCCATCTTTGCTCAGGGCAAGAACACTGGGATGCCCGCTCTTCGCCTGGGCAGCTGTGGTGGTTGTGGCTAGGCTGTGTTATGTGTCTGTTAGTAAACGGGCACCAGGGATGGAGGGGCCAAGTGCCCCAGGATGACATGGCCTCATACCAGCCACCACCACGGTCTGTCGCTACCTCAGCGTCACTCACCTATCCCTCTGGTGACACCTCCCAGCCCAGAGCCATGTGCGTGCAGCGTAGGCGGTACTTCAATAAGAGCCAACCGAAATGCGCTGTTTGTCCGATTTGTACCGTGCCCGACTTTGTACCACATGTGCTAGCACGGCCGGCTCCAGGCACCAGCTTACCAAGCAGGTGCTTGGGGTGGCCACTTCGGAGAGGGGCGGCACATCCAGCTGTTCAACGGCAATTCAGTGGACGGTCCCTCACTCTTGCTCGGAGAGAAGGACCTCCTGCTGAATTGCCGCCGCAGATCGCGATCGCGGCTTTTTATTTTATTTTTTTTTGGCTGCTTGGGGCGGCCCAAACCCTGGATCCAGCCCTGCGTGCTAGTGCGCATTATGAAAGTAAACTCTCTTCCTTAGTTTTCACACTCGTGTCCTGTATTTCCTTGCATGGTGTCAAGTATCAGGGGGTAGCCCTGCTAGTCTGTATCCACAAAAACAACAAGGAGTCCGGTGGCACTCTAACAGATTAACAGATTTATTTGGGCATACGCTTTCGTGGGTAAAAAAACCTCACTTCTTCAGAAAGCGTATGCCCAAATAAATCTGTTAGTCTTTAAGGTGCCACCGGACTCCTTGTTGTATTTCCTTGGCTCTCAGCTGTACCTGTGAGACAGACATGCCATGATTAGGGCTCTACCAAATCCACGCTCCATTTTGGCCAATTTCATGGTCATGGGATTTTAAAAGTAGTAAATTTTACGATTTCAGATATTTAAATCTGAAATTTCACAGTTTTGTTACTGTGGGGGTCCTGACCCAAAAGGGGACCATAGCGGGGGTCACAAGGCTATTGTGGGGGGGAGGGGGTCACAGTATAACCACCGTGTAGGTTACTGCAGTCTGGGGAGGATCCCGGAGGTGAGTCTGACCAGGCCCCAAGAGTGGCCCCTGCAGGGGAAGAGGAAGTCCCATCCCTCCACAGTCTGTCCAGACTAGCATCTGGGGCCCAGCACACAGTAAGAACCCCCAGCTCTGCCCCTCCTCTACACTAGCCAGATTTCACAGGGGAGACTAGATTTCACAAGGGGGAATATCAGATTTCATGGTCCGTGATGCATTTTTTACAGCCATTGATTTGGTAGGGCTCTAGCAATGATATGTCTTACAGTCTCACAAGTCAGCACTAATCCCAGGGTGCAACAACACAAAACTGTCACAATCTGATATCACCACATTGCAATAAAATTTCATATCACAACGCAACTCCCTCACTTCACAGTGCAACTCAAATGTGGAACAATGCAACATTCTCATATTGCAACACAACATCCACATTAAAAATGGAACATTCTATTGCCAAAATTACTGGAAAGTAAATGGACTACCGTGTTCTGCTTTTGCAACAAAGCCATGAACCAGAATCCAATTGTACATGAATCCAGATAATATGCTAGATATATATTTGTATGAAAGTTACTATTTTTAAATAATTAGATTTAAGGATACATGATATGATTACCACCATATGGCTTTCACCATTTGAAATGTGGTACAGTTCCTAACTCTGCTAGGCCTGCCTTCTGCTGTCCTCTTTATCAGTTGCTGTTTTCTCACATCCATTCTCTCCCTGTATAGTTCAATTCCAACAATTGTTGTCAGCTTCTTGCCTCCCCATCCTATCATACCTAATAGCTGAGATTTTTATGCCATATCTGTCTACAAATCTAGGTTCTTATATGGCCCCTATGACCATAGCTTTTAAATGGCTCTGTAACTGAGCAGCATCTGTTGGATAGTGAATCACATCAGTATTTAAATATTGTTAGATACTATTTATTGGATAGCGAATCACACCAGTATTTTTCAGCCTATTGGGCAAGACTCACAGTTGGCTGTGAAATAACCCCAACTACAGCCTATGATTTGAAGGGAAAATATCAAAAGCAAAATCCTGAAGATAGTAGGGCCTACCAGAAGCAAATAAAGGGAAAGCAAGAAATTCGGCTCCCCCACTCTTCATGCTGCTGTCACCACCTTCGTACTCCCTCATCTTAACTCTGTTGCAGTGAATCCCTCCCTCCTCTAATCTCAACACAGCTCTATGCTCCCAGGGAAAGTAGCTCTTCAAAATGCTGCAAAGTCAGCTTTATTCAGTTATTCCACATTTTCCAATCCCTGGTTAATCTGAAAAATGGATTTGAAGAGACAAAAGTGTGGAGGGGGAGGGGGAAACAGACTGGTATCTATACTCGAGTATCTATAGAAGCTTTGTAGCCTGAGAAATCTTGAGATGAAAGCCATCACCAGTAATAGATGGAGCTATTTAATCGTATTTTAGATAAAGAAAACAAAATTGATCAAAGAAAATCATTCATGGAAGGTAAAAGAGACCAGACTATTGACTAGGCTGTCTTGTAGTTAGACAAAGGAGAAACAATAGGAGAGTAGTGTATGAACTGGATCCTAGTTACCAAATGTTTGGCTGGCTGAAACTGCTTAATGACCCTTAAGTATATCATTTTGGGATAGAATTAATGCCATAAGATGAATGCTTTCCAAGACAACCATGTAAATCTTCATGAAGAAAAAGGCCACACATCCATCATTTTTTGCTGTATGTGTCCATGGAGTAGTTAAACATATGGCTTTTTCTTGGGTTCATTCCTGGTTTTAAATTTAAAAGAGAGAGAGAGAAAAAATAGGTGAAATCCCTTTAAAAACACACAGTTGTAATCTCCCATTCACAGCTGCTGCCAGTACTGACCTTTCAATTGTGTCATTTATATGAAGGGTTTTGTGTAAGGGATAAACATCAGTTCTGCAGAAATGCCCAGTTAGCAAGAATTGAGATGCTTTTTAATGAGGATTTGATTACCATGAAACTGTGTGTGTGTGAGAGAGAGCGAGAGAGAGAGAGAGAGCGAGAGAGAGAGAGAGTGTGTGTGTGTGTGTAAGTGTAAGGAGCAGTTTTCCCATGAATAAATGCAATTTGCAGTATTTTGCAGGAGAGATAATATGTAGGCTAAAATGTCAAGAAAATATTGGGGGAATTCTAAATAATAAACCTAACTTAAAATGTGTAAGCATCATCATATAATGGAGTAATTACACATATTACTTTGCAGGTCTAATGGTGGCTTTTCTTCAAAAGGATGCTGTGACAGATATGGCAATTTCCTGCAACAACCCTCCTGGACAAACCTTATTGAATTAAGTTTAAGTATTTTAGGAGTCCATTGTATTAAAAATGTAAATATTACTGTGGACTATATGTAACTTCTCTACGAGCCATGACTAATGTAAATCTTAGGAAGTGTTCTGAGCTTCATAGGAGTCTTTGAAATAATGTGCTAGCTAGATAAACAAAGTTAAATGGGATTCCCAGAAAACACTTGGGAGGAGGAGAAAGCCACTTCTCACTTCCAGACCCATCCTTTTGATGATGCTGCCGAGGAGAAATTCATTGTCTGCTGATCATCTGTTTCTTTAGGACCAGACCAGAGACCCAAAGTGGATAAAAGAGTAACTCCCAGATTCATGGGTGTGTTTGTTCTGAGCTAACAGCTATTATGAACTTGTGACTACAGAAAAACCCCTTGGTGATGGATTTTAATGTTCACTGGCCAGAGCCTTGTTGGGAGTCAGTGGGTGATCTCTAGGAATCTTATTAGTGTGCATGTAGATTCTTTCATTGTTTTTAATATTTTTATGTAATGCTTTTGCCTTAAGAATAAATATGCTTGCTTTGAAAGAGCTGTGTGGTAACTTAACTGTAGCAATTACGCTGTTTATTGCCTCTGAGAAATCAAAGCAGGCCCACTTAAGCAATCTCTATTGCTGGGGGATTCACAATGTAGTCAGGGAACTGTGCAGCCTGGAAATACCCTGTCAGAAGGGAGAGACACACGTGTCTTTCTTTGCCGTAAGAGAGGAGACAGGAATGGGAAGCCTGAGATTTGATGCCTTTCCTGGATCACAAGGGTGATATACAGGTACAGTTGCCTTGAGGTATGACAGGTGTGTTACTTGATCCTTGTAAAAGTCCCATGCTCAGAAAGTTCCCACTGTGTGACTGTAAATTTCCCCCTAGATTTTAACTATTTCAGTGCTGCCTAATTTTCAATAACCTTTTTACATATGTACTGCATATTATTGATTGTTAGAAAAAGGTTGGGACAAAATACTTTTCCAGTGGTACTTCAGATAGCAGATACAATACATTAAGTTCCAATGGAGTACCTGTTCTCCCAATGGAATGTAAACAATTCAAACAACATTACCATGCTATACTACCACATGGAGCTTGCAAGTGAGTACAGCAGCAAAAATATTTTAGAAAAAAAGAAATGCAAGCACTTTGATTTTTTAAAAATATTTTATGTTACAGTTTGAGAGTAGAACTGTGACTGAGGCAAGTCTCCAGAGTGTGACACAGATGTGGCAGTAATCCTCCTGCAGAGTCCCAGTACTCTTCACTTTGTGAGAAAACAAACAAGAAGCTTTTTGATGCATTACATATGAATTAAACCCAAATCACTTTTAAACATGAGTGACTCAATGGGCTTCAGGCCTGCATATCTAAAGGGAAATTTGATTCCTGGTTATTTTGGAAATAATAAGTCTTATTCTCAGTTACTTCATTCTTGCACATGTGGTAAGGAGGAAGGGGTGTATGGGGGAAGATGGCTTTAAATCATATTTATGCTCCCTGTATTCTGGGCTATGCAGGAGCCTGCCTTGCTTGGTATGTAAATTAGGGCAGCTCT